GTGCTAAGGGAAATCAGAAAAAACACAAGTACGAATTGCCCCAATCTTAGTTTCCATGCCAACAATGATAAAATGTTGCTTTCACCATTCCCATCTTCTCCTCTCACTCTGGGGTTTGCTTCAAGATGGTAAGAAGTTTTGCAAATTATTTTCCCCTCACATAGGCTCCCTGTAAAGAGGCTGCGGGGGTGGAGTAGGCAACGGTGGTGTTAGATGGTTGAGGGTTTAGGTGGGCTTGTGATGATTTCCGGTGAGTGGGGGCCTGTGGTTTGAGGTGAGTGGAGGGCTGGTGGGTGGCGGCAGCAGAAGGCAGGTTAGTAATTGCATGCTGCTGCAAGAGTGGAAGGGACATGCTAGGTAGATGGGCAGTCCTGAGATAGCTGCACTGCTTTGCAATGTGCATGCCCAAATAGAGCACAATCTTTGCTTTAAGTTCTCCCGCTGAGCCCAAGCATTTCAGAGAGCCGTGAGTGCCTGACAATGCCTTAAAATACCTATGCATTTTGAAATGTTTCCAAAGCCTGATTCAGGTAACTTACACACAAAACCTCATTAGCTAAAAGCTGAGGGCACTTATGAAACTGTGAAGACAAATTACTTTTTCTATTACTTTTCTCTTTCAGTTTCTGCTACTACAAGAAACATGCCTGCCATGCAAAGCATTTGATTTGTTAGCCCCTGTGGGGCCTACATCTTGAGCACGGGAAGGGGGTGCGTGAGGGATGGACAGAGGAGGGAGTGAGACAAAGCAGCTCGGAGGGAGAGTGGGGTTGGAGGCTGCACATGTGGCTACTGGTGGTAATATTAATACTGCAAGAACATAAAACTTTATAGCTTTAGGTCTCCAGCATGGATGTCATTCTGAGCACCTTGTGGGGAAGAGGTCAAAAGCTGTATAGGCAGAGAGAGGCTCCTAGCTCCACCCAACGTGGCAATGGACAGCCAGTACCTGGGGAAATGTTTCTGAAATCCCCCTATTCAGTTGTCTGAATGGGGTTCTTTTGTATTCTCCAAATCTACCAGGTCATACAGTTCTTGGCTGCCCAGAAAAATGTCCTCTGGTTGGACCCTCAGCTATAAGCGGGGTCAAGGGAGTTTGTTGTGGAGTCTTGGGTGCTTTCTGGAAAACTGCTTACCACATTGTTCTTGGGTGCAGTAGTGGCATTGTTTGCAAAAATGCCAGCAGTGACACAGTTAGGAATACGACCAAATTCGCTGTGGAGTTACTCCTGTTCCAAGGAGGATGACTTACTGTGGCCTAAAATGCCAAATAGTTGGCTTTAAAAACGATTGTTTGGGGATGTAAGGCACAGGAAAGAGAACAAATTGCAGTTACTCCAGTATAACATCCCCTGTCTTGTTTTTCTTATGCACCTTCAGATGTCAGCAGCCTCTGCCACTCTGGGAATACTTCAGCTGGATATTTCAACTCCCTGTAGACTGTAGCCCTTACTTCAGATCTGGTTACAATGATGGTAGTAGACTCATGGTTTGATACGCCAGCTCTAGTCAGGAGTAACTGCACTGAAATCAGATAGGTTACACTAGTATAACCCTAATCAAGCCCTTAACAGATGAGTATTCTGGAGAACAGGTTTTGTTCAACACTACAGCCTCTTGGATTTTACCCCATGGTTGCTATGAAAGTTGTTAGTTAATGTGAATTAATCTATACAAAGGCTTTAAAGTGAAGCTCCATACAAATGCTAAGTGTTGTTAATGGATAAAAGGCAGGGTAGAATTTGGGTTCCTGGCTGTCCTTTATATGTTGGTAAATGTGGCAGATGCCGTTCTTCTCATGGCTAGATTTTTACTGCCAACAGCTAGAAACGTTACTTTTTATGACCTCTGAGTCACAGGTTTTTTGCACCAGAATTCATTCCAAGTCACTAAATCCTGGTTATTCTAAGAAGAATCACAGTGGGGCGAATTGGTTGGCAATGATCCATGTGGACAGTGGGACATGCATAAAGACAGAGGCAGAAGCCACTACCCACTCGACCCAACAAGCTTTTCTTGTGGAAGCTGTGCTACCCTCAAGGCTGCAGAATTGTCCAATTATACAAGAAGTCATAATTTAGCCCTGGATTCCCTTGAACCATTTTGACGTAAATAAACGTTCCCATCCTGTATATACCTGTCATTATGACTTTATGAAGTACACATAGTGGGTGCTATGTATGCAATAACCAAAAGCCTGGTTTCTCAGGTAAAAATCTGAAGTATGAGCCTTTGCTTTAGAGAAGTAACAATTTTAAAAAGAAAGCAAATTGCAATTCTGTCCTGCAAAATGTTATCTTAGGACTGAAAATCCACAACAGGATAAAAGAAATCTCTATGGCTATGTGCACCAGATGGGTTCAAATTGTACTTGCAATTTATTATGCAAGTTCCAGCGAGCATGATTTCAATCATGGGGTCTGATCTGATTCCCAAGATAGTCAATGGAAGTTTTGTCTTTGACTTCAATAGGTGCAGAATCAGGCCTGAAGTATGACAGTGTCTTATTTTTCCAAAGCCAACTTTGATGGTGTATGTTTTAGTAGTTTAGCCATGTGGACTCCATGCTATGGGACTCCTTGAAAATTTACTCTGAGTCTTTATAGCTCAATTTTTTGTACACCCAAGACCTTTTATTCAAAACAATAGTACTTGGGTCATAATATACTCTGTTACACTGGTGTAAATCCAGAATAATTCCACTGAACTAATTTTTGAATTCCACTGAAATTGGACACTGTCCTTTTAGCTATAAGATTCTTTAGTTTACAGCTAGGGATTAACAATCGGTATGCACTTAGCTCATGGATGAATTACAAAAACCACATGCTGGACATTAATGCTCACTCCCTTACTCTTGATTTAATGTTTACTTAATTGTGTGCCTTATTTGTGTGTGAATTCTTAGTAAAACATCTTGTAAATGTACCAAGAGTCAGTGTAAGAATGAATATTGTATAACATGATGTCAAAAAATCCCTTGCTCAAAAGTAGAGACTGACCTGGAATAGTAAGAGTGCAGTGGTCGCCATCAGAAAGTCAATATTTACCAAGAGACACCCCATGGTGATACCTGAGTTACTGTAAAATATGTCTGTGCTTAAAACAGGCAACAGCTAATGGTGGTATCTTAGATACCATAGTATGGTACCTGAGTAAACAGGCACTTTTTAATAGCAACCACTGTAGTAACTAAAGAAAAAAACATAGAAAAAGTCTCTATTCAGAATATGACCTTGCATAAATATTACACCCAAAAAACTATATTAAAAAATGTTAAAGATGCAAAGTCAAGCTCTTAAAATTAGGAAATGCCAGCATTAACGCTGTCTGTTCAACATTAATTTAATTCCTTTATGTGTATATATTATGAAACAGTTACATGATCACATACTACTTTTGTCACATACTACCCCTGCCTCATTCAGTGCCCAGGGAGGGACGGTGCTCACGGAATGGACTATTTATTTTTATCCTCATCATTTAGTGTGTGGCCCCATTAAATATAGTGAGGGACCAACAAGCTACACTGATGTGATTTATTTGCCTAAAAGTTTTCTTAGGACATTATTGTGCCATCTAGTAGGTGTTGTGCAGGGTGATGTACAAGTAAATACTGCATTTTTCCAAGGCTTTTTGCTAACAAATGTAATAGGTTGGTTTTAATTGTGTTATAGCGGCTTTCAGTGTTTCCTGGTTCGTGATTCCCCTCCCACTTAGCAATAAAGAAGGGCAGGGTGTTCATGACCTCCTGATAATTGTTTGCAACTCTCCCCACAGCATTGAGGGTTGTGACCCCTGGCTGAGAACCCACAAGTCTTTGTTAAGAAACCCTTAGTTATAAATAAGATCCAGCAGCCTGTAGTACTTGTCCCTGATTTGCACCTTACTTTGTAGAGTTTTTGGCCAGCACTGTAGAATACAGGGTACTTCAGATTTTACTGAAGTGGAGGTGGCATGTGGGGCTGCCGGTCTTTTGCCAGGGAGAGGAGGTTGGCTGAGGGGGTTTCCTGCAACTGGGGGTCCTATTTCCGATCCTGCCTTCACTCACGTATCCGGGCAGAGGTTCCTTTCAGCAGCATCCGCTGGTTCCCTTGACCGGGGTTCTCTGCTCAGTGTCCCCTTCAAGTTCCCTTTGTTTGACCCTTTGACCTTCACTCCTGTCCCTATTACATTTTTGGTTGTCCCCCGTAATTATTTGAGTTCCTGGACCTTGTGGATCCTCCTCACAGGCTGCAGGAGAGGTGCCTGCCCACTTCCTGGGACCCACTATGAGGACCCTTTTGTAGCTGTCCAGCCTGACTTTGTTACACTAGATGTCTTACAGGTTGTCTTTCGCTATATATGTTTCAATAGTTGTGGCTCGGTTCATTGGCTTAATGAAATTGCCAGCTCCTCACCACTCTTCACGTCCTTCCATTTAACCTTTGCAAGGCTGCCTTTTCCCGCTGGCCTCCTCTGCTGCACCCTCATAACCTGCATTTCCCAATGCAGAACAGCTTGTTGTGGGCAGGCAAATGCCCACTGTCCCCTCCTGACGTGAGGGATTCATGCCCTTGACAAGCTCACACCTGTCAGCCCTGCTGACTCAGCTAAGGAAGCTCTCCAAAACGGGACCTTTAGCATCTACAGGGGGCCCTGCTTAGCCTAGGGCAAGTTTCGCCCTTTTTGATTAGCTGTAATGGCCACTGAAGTGTCTCTCCCTTGGCTGAAGCAGCTTCTGGGAATAAGCCTCAGTCTCTCCCTACTCTTCCCTCCCCCATCTCCTCCTTTTCCCTCCATCTTTTATGGCTGTTGCCATGGCGCCTAGAGAGAGCTCAGCGCTGCAGCTGGGGAGGGAGGAGGGAGCAGCAGTGCCTTCTGCAAGTCCAGGCTCTTGCTCACTGAGCTCATCACCCTCCTCCTCCTAGGAGGGAGCTGGCTGGCTGCTGCTGCTGCTGCTCTGGGTGGGCGGGTGGTTTACATCCTCAGCATCACCAAGCAGAGGGCCGGCGGGGGGGGGGGAGGAAATCCCAGCAGCTGCTGATGTTGGGCTTTGAAGCAGCCTCAGTAACAGGGAAAATGGATTCAGCTTGCACATCCCTCGCCTTTCAGCATCTTCTCCTGGTTTCGACATGGTGAGCAGCAGAGCCAGCACTGCCTTTATTGCTGTTATTAATGATTGTGGCGGAGGGTCATTATTCTCACGCTGATGATGTATTTTCTGATCCGGTTGCTCTGAGTATCTTTAATATGTCTGTGAAACAATGACTTCCATCTGAGCTATTAGAGAGAGCATGGGGGCTGGAGAGAGGGAGAAGTGGGAGGGATGGAGTGAGAGAGCTGGAGATATAGAAAGATGGAGAGAGGAGCAGGTGGGCTGATTAGGAACAGTCTTAGTAAAACAATATTCCAGGAATTCATCTTAGCTAACCTCATGCTCTGAACACCCCTCAAATCCCTTTTTTTGTCATCTTCTTTCCTTTGCTGTTACAAAATGGGATGCACTGAAGATGGTTGTTAATCAAAAAAAAGGAATGTATTTTTTCAAAGGGCTTAGGCTGAGCCTCAGTAACTCCCAGATACTGGGGTTGGGCCTTAGTGAAATAGCATTTGGGGTAGTAAGTGCAGCTAAGCCAAGAGCAGTGTAGAAGAAGCCACTCTGATTAATTTTGTTTGCAGCACAGATTTACCTATTTTGTTTTGCTGTGGCTTTGTGTGAGCTTTCATTTTTAGACTGTCTTTTTAAAAATGTTTCTATATAGATCTTGTTGTTATGGAAGAGGGGTGTGTGTATGTGTATAAATTTTCTCAAACATTGAGCTGCATGTCTTTGTATGTACAGTACATGTGCTGTTGTCACTGCCAGTAACGGAAGAAACATTCCAGTTGGGGTGGTGTAAGATTTATTCTTCAGTTACTGAATTATTGTCCCTTGATTTCATTATGGCACTTAGGATAGACCTATATCATGCATTTGGTCTGTTTTATGGCACTAAATACTAATTTGTTTCCATTAATATAAATGGATATAAGATACTGAACATATACCTTATGGCCTGGGGATGGATGCATAGATAGCTCTAGGTATAGATATTAAAAGTTTAAATTAAGATCTTGGGAGAAAAAATGTCAAACCATATTTTTAAACCTATGGATTTGCACTCAGAAATGCCCCATGCACCATTGTACCAGGAAAGGTCAGATTCTCCTTTCTAAATGCCCTGCATTCATTGTGCTAGATTCTGCCTTGATGTACACTCCATGAACAGCTTGAACTCTGGGAAGCGTGTTAGTGTCACGTAGGGTCCATTTTGTCCAATAATACTGGATTTGATCCTTCAATCCTGGCTCAGGCAAAATTCCCATTGTTCAGGCCTGCTGTTGTGTGTTCATTCCACCAGTGTACAAACGCCAGGCCAAACTCAGCTGTGCTCTAAATGTTAACATGATTTACATGCCTGCCCAAATTCTGATTTCTCTTATGCTGGTGTAAATCCATGGTAATTCTATTGACTTCAGTAGGTTTACACCTGGTGTGGGTGAACTCATATGTATATAGTAACGTAGCTTGCAGTGATTTGGCATTGGGACTAAAAAGTGAGTGTCACATAAATGGATCTGGCGACTAAATTCAGCCCTGGCACAAGCAGGTGCAATTAAGTCAATGGATGTTGCACCCACTGAGCCAGAATCAATCCTATCTTTAAAGGGGGTGAGTCTGCACCTCTGGGAGATTCACCCTCAGGGGAGAGCAGGAGGCATTTCCAATGGGAATGGGCAACTTCATCTTTGTTGGGAAATTAGTGGGAATCCCCCAGCAGAGGTGGCTGAGCGGAGTTGCTGACTTGATGCATCTGACCATACCCTTTCCCAGGACAGCCTTGTTGACTTTTGGAACTCCACCACCTATAAGTGGATCCTCTGGAGCTCTCCATCACTGCAACCTCCCTCCTGTTGGACTTGCTGGCTTGGCTATTCTGCGAGGGTCTACACTGGTTGAGGCTGGCCCTAGCCTTGGAGTTGAATTTGTCCACTTGTTTCTGCAGTGCCCAACACAACCCTGACTAGGATCTCTAGCTGCTATTACAATACAAACAATAGGTAACTGCCTTTGGCTGAATTTGCCCCAGCATCTTTCAGTGTCCTCTGGTCATACTGTCCTTCTGTTTCCAGTGGTTATTTCTAGCTCAGTAAGCTTTTAAACACAGGTCTTCTGTTATCCTACTCTCTTTTGTTTTAGCCTCTACTTAATGGGAAGATAACACTGGTGCAGCACTAGAATGTGGTTGTACAGAACAAACAACAGGCTATTATCATTTATAAATGCATGGTGGAACCATCTTGACCTTTTATTATTATCAAAACTTTAATGCAGCTGGAAAGGGGATGCATAATTTCTCCATTGTTATTACAAAGGATAACTGACTTCATAGTATTCAAGTCAGAGAAACACTGTGTAACTCTACTGACAGTATGATGCCAGAGTCATTTTCAGGTTTTGGTTTCTATTACCCATCCTTTTCCTTTTATTCCTTTTATCCAGTTAATATCACAGTTTACAAATGCATAAAAGCACTCCTCTTACCATAAAAAGATAATAGGCTAGATTCTGATCCCACTAACGCGGGTTTAAATCCGGTATAACTCTAATGAAGTCAATGGATCTAACTCTGGTTTCACTCCCAGTATAATGGAGTCACTCCTAATTTACATCAGTGTAAATGAGAGCAGAATCAAGCCTATTAGTGGACCAATGTGGTCCAGTGGTTTAAGCCTAGAAATTAGTAAAAAAGGAAGTTCTAATCCCTGAACTGACACCAGCTCCATCTGTGGCTTTGGTTATCTCATGAACTCTGCCGCCTGTGAAATGGGCAGATAACAATGACAAATTTACTGGGAGAACTGCTGTGAGGACTAATCAGCTAGTGGGTACAGAGCGATTGAACACAGAAAGCACAGAAAAGTGCTAACTGTTACAGAGCTTGTGTATTCACCATTTGTTTTACACACTGACATGGGGGTTGGTAAAACAATCTTAATTTATTTTGATTTGCATCTAGTTTGATTTGCTTGAAGATAATCTCCCTAGCTGGGGCTAGTACGTGGAAAATTATTCTTCCTGTGACACACTGAGTGTGGAGTGATGTGTCCAGAGCATGCTCTTAAGGGTAACCAATAAACATGTAATTTCAGAGGATGATTCATAAACCGACTCTGCTTAGTTCTCCCGGGGGAATGCTGCAGTCTAGCAGGTGAACCAGGTGAAATGGCATGTGCAGTTTGAACAATGCTGCCTGTGAAGGTTCCTTCCCCACTCTGAACTCTAGGGTACAGATGTGGAGACCCGCATGAAAGACCCTCTAAGCTTATTCTTACCAGCTTAGGTTGAAAACTTCTCCAAGGTACAAACTTTGCCTTGTCCTTGAACCGTATGCTGCCACTACCAAGCGTTTTAAACAAAGAACAGAGAAAGAGACCACTTAGAGACGTCTTCCCCCAAAATATTCCCCCAAGCCCTATACCCCCTTTTCTGGGAAAGGCTTCATAAGAATCCTCACCAATTTGTACAGGTGAACACAGACCCCAAACCCTTGGATCTTAAGAACAATGAAAAAGCAATCAGGTTCTTAAAAGAAGAATTTTAATGAAAGAAAAAGTAAAAGAATCACCTCTGTAAAATCAGGATGGTAAATACCTTACAGGGTAATCAGATTAAAACCATAGAGAATCCCCTCTAGGCAAAACCTTAAATTACAAAAAGACACAGCTTATTTTATCAGCCATTAAACAAAAGAAAATCTAATGCATGTTCTAGCTAGATTACTTACTAACTTTACAGGAGTTGTAAGGCTGCATTCCTGATCTGTTCCCGGCAAAAGCGTCACACAGACAGACAGAATCCTTTGTTCCGCCCCCCACCCCTCTGTTCCAGATTTGAAAGTATCTTGTCCCTTCATTGGTCATTTTGGGTCAGGTGCCAGAGAGGTTACCTTAGCTTCTTAACCCTTTACAGGTGAAAGGGTTTTGCCTCTGGCCAGGAGGGATTTTATAGCACTGTATACAGAAAGGTGGTTACCCTTCCCTTTATATTTATGACACTGCCAAACTTGCATCTGCAGAGGGCATGCAGACGATGGGGACCCCAGGAACAGGATGAAATGCTAACGCTATGTTTACTGCATACTTTCCAGTGTCACGTCGTGTGGAGTACTAGCAGCTTTAAGCTGACAGAGAGCTCTGTGGGGATAACTTGAGAATCAGGATATCTCCATCTTTACAGTCACCCTGGGTGAGAAATAACACCAACTGCCCATCTCTAGCCACTGCTTCCCATAATCCCTCCCCAAACACAGCAGTTCTTGACACGTTTCTTGTTCTCCCCCCGGGGTTCTTGGACTTGACCCTTACAACCCCATCGCCCAACTGGTAGGGGGAGGAGGGAAGGATACAGTGAATCATGGCCTTGCACATGGGACTTCAGTCAAATAGCTTTGCAGGCAAGACCATATTTGCTCTTGATTCTGAAATGATTAATACAGTTGTCAAAGGAATGAAATAATCTGAACCCACAACCATTGTCTTGTATAAATATTGAGACAAATCTCGGCCTCTCTTCATTAGCTTTCAAGGCTCCAATTGCAACACAAATCTCATGTTTCTGCTGCAATGAGGCCCAGGCAGAGATACCATGTATGGGAATTCTGCCAGTCCCTGCTGTGAGAGTGGAATGTGGGCAGGCCAGGGATATGGAGAAAGTACAGCCTGGGAACAGGGAAGACCCAAATTCACATCTTGGTGGGTTGCATCCTCCTCTTCTTCCATACGTGTTAGTAGCAGCCACATCCCAGGTTCTACTGGTCCTTTGTTGTGTGTTAAGGGGAAACACTCATCACGCCAGTAGATGCCTTGAAAAAAGCCCTTTTACTCAGGCTTTGCTCCTGTGAACAGAATATGGCCCCTTTGTGACATCACAATCATTTCAATGTGTTTTATCTTAAAGTGGGTTGAGATTGGATCCTAGCATGTTGAGGATATTATAATACAAGACACCAGTGAAAAGTCTGATCCTTCAGCACTTACTCTGGCAAAGCCCCATATAAATGCTGGCCACCTCAGAGACACAGGAAGGGGATAG